TAGATCTCCATGCTGAAAGTTTTTCTCATTGGTGGACCAACTTATGCTCTATCCCTATGACAGCAAACAATGAGGCTAGAATTCAGCTCACAGCTTACTTACTTTGGTGGATTTGGAAAGCAAGGAACTTGTGGGTTTTCCAAGGCTTATGGAGAGCAGAGCTGGCTGTGGTGAATGTAGCTGTGGAAGAGTGGCTGGAATTCATCAATGTGCAGAGCCTTAGAGTCTGATATAGCTGGTTGGGTTGTTCTGCTTTAGTTGTTAATAGTTTTGTGTTATTTGCTTTTGTTGGGTTGCTTTAGTCTAGGCCTGTTTTGTGTAGCTAGTTGCCTTTTGCTGTAGTAGTTTTTGTGGCAATAGTGCTGGTTAGTGGTAGTCCAGCTTGGCTAGGGTGTGTGCCAGTGGTCAAGCTGTTTTTGCTTTTGATTAGATAGGATCAAGTCCATGGGTTCTATGTTGGAATATGCCATGGATTTTGATCCCTTCTATTGGTTGTTATTTTTAACAGATTTGTTCTGCCAGGCTTGGCTGGTCATTGGGCTATTTAGCCCCACCTCATGTACAAATGTTTGGAGCTATAAAACCTATCGTTTCGAAAAAAAAAAAGACACCACCTATCCCTTTTTTCGTTATATTAATACCCCAACAAATAATATAGAGAAATTTACTCCTTCTACTACTCCTTATAACGTTATTTGTATAAATACGAAAGTCAAAACTTCTTTTTGTAAGTACGATATTAAGTTTCAATTTAATATGTAATAGACGATTTTAAATTATTCATTGCAGTTATCTCCAAGACACAATTAATGGGTCAAATTGGAACAAGAATATCGGAAATCGTGATGATACATATATTACCATATAACAACCCCTAAAAATCAAAAAAGAGATCTTATTTCTCTCACCAAATCTTGCATTTTGTGTTTCTTCACCTCATACGAGACGAAACAGAGAAAAAAAATCCCATCGAATACTCAAACTCATATTCCTCCGTAGATTCATCAATGGCTAAACGAATAAAACAAGATGTCAATCATCATAATAGTGAAGATTCGATCACTATCTCGCCTCTCTCTCTCTCAAAATTGTTAGCAGTCATCTATTTTCTCGCCAATCGAATTATAGGAGAAGAGGGTACGAAAGAAGAAATTCATGGAGGGAAGGCAAAGGAAAAGGGGGTAGGAAGAAGACATTCATGGATGAAAGGCAAAGAAAGCGAACCTTCAAGCCCCGATCCAAGTCAAATCTCGATTGTTTATAATCTCAATTTTTTTTAATGTCAAGGTGTATAATGTTTATCCCGTTTCAGAAATGTTTATATGTTGTTTATCTTATGTATAACTACATTCGATTTGAATTTTTGCCGTCATGTATTATGATTATACCCATTTTCAGAATTATTTATATGTTGTTTATCTTATGGTTAACTATACGGTTAATATTTACCCGTTTCAAATTGTTTTAGAATTGTGTATTATGATCTTTCTACTGCTCCAAGTGTACTGGACTTGTTTATATCCAGTTTATCTTCCGTATACTTCGTAAGTTGCTGATTTTTTTTCCAACCCGAGCTCGTACAAAAAAA